AGCTGGGGTTAACCCACTAGCTCATATGAACATATGAGCCCATCGGCCCAGATTGAATCTTGGCCTATCTAACGATCATGGATGTCCGGTAGTTTTTTGAATTTTTTTTTTTTTTCTACAAATCCAAATCACTTGAAATTATACGTGTGTGTTATTCTCATCAAGGAGCATTTAATAAAAATATTAAAAAAAATATTCAAGAAAAAACAAATGACCAAAATACCTCCTGAAACTTTTGGGAGGTATTTTGGTCAATTTATTTCATATGAAAAAGTTGGGGTTACCCACTAGCTCATATGAACATATGAACTCAATGGTCCAGATTGAATCTGAGCCGATCTGACAATCATGGATGTCTGGTAGTGTTTGAATTTTATTTTATTTTCTACAAATTCAAATCACTTGTAATTTTAGACATGTGCGTGATCGTCAGATCGGCCCAAATTCAATCTGGGCTCCCACTTCTCAGGCAGCTCCCACTCCTCAGGTCACTCCCACACCTGAGGTCGCTCCAGTCAGTCTAAGTTCTCTCTTCTTCCTCTTTGTTTTCTCTCTTCGTTCAAATCTCTTCTTCCTATCCCAAAGATAGTTCTACTCTTCTACCATCCTTCAGAAGTCGTCACAAGGTCTCAGGTAGTACCTTCCCTTATCTGTTCAGAATTGTTGTCTTCTCTCCCAGTAACAGGTTTTGCTAGATCTCTCTTTCTTTGTTTCAATTTCAGCAATCTATCTTGACCTCATAGCTTCAATACCTTTTCTATTTCAATATGTGTGATTGCAATATTACTTCTTTACCTTCATACTGTCCACACCACTGGAAGTTATTATCCAGTTACTGTATATGCTCCCAGTAAGTAGTTTTGATTTCTGTTTTTCTGTTTCTACTTTTCTGTCCAATAGTTTGTAAATAGTGAGTTGTTTGCAATAGTTAATGTGCTACAAGACTTTTATTAATAAAGTTTGATATGTTTGATATGAATTATGCAATTTAAGATATTGTTCAGTATAAAAGTTGGCAATATAAATTATGCTCAATGGTTTGTTATAGATGTCTCTATTATTCCGCTTCTCTGCATAGTACTATTTATCCTGAATTATTATAGGATTCTACATGAATTAATTAAATATAATAGTTTGATATTTACATATCTACTTTAAAACAATTTTAATAAGACTGCTTGTTCAATTATTACTTTAATACAATAAATAGGATCGGACTGTAGATCCTGGGCGTTTGTGGTATCAAAGCCAAACAGTATCAACTGTGCAATCAGGAAACTGTTTATACAGTACATGAACAAGTAAATTGTTACACGTCCTGAATAGTTCACTAAGTCGTGAGAGTATAAGTTATACTATTACTAAGGAAACCTATTTAAATTTACCACTAAGAAAGTTGGTCCGAGAGTTAAGATACGAGACAAAAGGAATCTATAAAGTTAGCAATATAAATTATGCTCAATGGTTTGTTATAGATGTCTCTATTATTCCGCTTCTCTGCATAGTACTATTTATCCTGAATTATTATAGGATTCTACATGAATTAATTAAATATAATAGTTTGATATTTACATATCTACTTTAAAACAATTTTAATAAGACTGCTTGATATTACAAACAAAAGCATTGGATAATTTATAGTTGATAAACAACCTGCTTCCATCTGCAGTATTAAGTATTTGGATAGTTTTATCAAAATATTTAGAAGGTATTAATCCTTCATTTATACAATTAAGATCAGCTCCTGAATCTATTAGGGCTGAAGTTTCAAAACTATATTGTATTAAAGCATATATATATATATATATATATATATATATGGTGTGGT